CTTCCACGGTTGAGGGCGAATGAGGGCGAGCGCGTTCCCAGTGAAATCCCTGCGGAGAAGCCATTGGCAGCGTCACCCCCAGCACAAACCCTTCCCCTGCCCCAGGGCTGCGGGGTGGCCGTGAGGCCGGCCTGGAGCTGCCCCCTCGGCGCTGCCCATCAGCCCTCCACAGGCAGCGTGTCCCTGGAGCCGCTCTCGGGGTGTCCGGGGCAGCGCCCGGAGCTGCAGGGCACTCACAGCATGGAGAAGGGCCGCTGGGGGGTGGCCAGGGGCACGTGGGCCAGGGCAGCGCTGCTGCAGTCCAGGCGGCGCCCGCGGCAGCGGCAGGGCCCCGGGCAGGGCCCCAGGGGCCGGGCCAGGCCGGGGGCCAGGCCCAGCAGCAGCAGCAGCAGCAGCAGCGGTGCCATAGCGACACAGGGCCTGAGCGCCTTTGGTACCACACGAGGCTCAAGGCTGGGGATCCAAACCAGGAGCTCTCGTCTGCGACGAGCAGTGGATCTGGGGCTGTGCTGGCCCTGCTGGGCAGATACAGCCCGGGACACCTCACACCTCACAATGGGGCCTCGCCGCAGGAGTTTCATCGGCCGGGCCTGCGAGCGTGCGTCCCCACTGTGACATGGGACAATCCCCTGCCGTTGGAGCTGGTCGCTCTGCCCCACCTGGGGCGTGTTACAGACCAGCACATCTACGCGTGCAGCACGTGTGCGTTCAGTACGTGTTTGTGCAGTCTGTGCGCGTCTGCCACGCGTGTGTGCTGGGTGCTCTCTGAAGGCAAGGGAAATCGGCTCGTCCCAGAACGATGTGTCCTCACTGGAAAAGCTTGACTCGGATTTGGCATCACTGAAATGACAGCAGGGACGTAACAGCAATGACATAACAGCCGTTGGGGAGGGGGTTGGAACTGCATGAACTGAAGGAGGGACCTTCATCGCCTCCTTCACACTTACGACCAACTTGTACAAGCCTGACACCTCACCAGCAGTGGACTGAGCCAGGGCCACCTCCCGCAGGGCAGGGATAGGAGCGGTGGGAAGCAGGCATGGGGCAGGGAGCAGGCAGAGACGCGGAGCTGTTGCCTGCTCCTGCCCGTACCTCATCCTCGTCCCTGTCTGTGTCCTTGCTCCTGCTGCACCACTTGGGCCAGACTCAGGGGCTAAGACTCAGAGGCTGAGACTCTGTGGCTGAAACGGTGGCTGAGACTCTGGGCCTCAGGCTTTGGAGCTGATACTCTCAGACTCTGGGGCTGAGACTGCTGCTGAAAGTCTATGGCTAACACTCTGGGATTCAGACTTTGGGGCTCAGACTGGGGCTGAGACTCTGTGGCTCTGACTATGGGTCTCAGACTTTGAATGTCAGACTCTGTGACAGAGACTGTAATATAGACTCTGTGGCTGAGACTGTAGCTGAGACTGGTGCTCAGGTTTTGGAGCTGAGACTCTCAGCCTCAGACCCTGTGGCTGAGACTGTTGCTGAGACCGTGGGGCTGGGTCTCTGTGGCTGAGACTGTGGGGCTAAGACTGTGGAGCTGTGTGGGGGTTGGAATGTATCAAAACTGTCAGAGACCATGGGAAGGAGGAACTACAGCAGGCAATTAAGAGCGACCCGTCCCTGACTGGTACTTGGAAGTTGTTGGAACTGGCAAGGAACGAGGATGTCAGAACTGGAAAGAGGGGAGTGCGCATGCTTTTGGAGGAGCAACCCCCATGCACCTCAGCTGAATAAAGCATACCTACTTTACAACTCTAAGGAGCTGGAGTCAATCCACGTATCACTTTCACCTGATGTAACCGCAAGGCAAACCCAGATGTGCTCTGCTAATTGCTTGGAAGCATATAAATATTGTGTAAGCTTTGCAATAAACGATCCAGCTTGCACTCTACCTCTGGGTCCGTGCCTCCGTCCTCACAGGGCTGAGACTGTGGTGGTCAGATTTTGGAACATACTCTGGCTGAGACTCACAAATGAGGACTCTGGCACTGAGACTCGGGCTAAGACTCTTGGGCTGGGACTGTGGGGCTGAGACTGTGGGGCTGAGACTCTGGGCCTCAGACTTAGGAGCTGAACACTGTCCTGGGTTCAGCAGTAGCAGTCACTTTTTCTCCTTAGTAGCTGGTGCAGCGCTGTGTTTTTGACTTTCAGCCTGGGAACAGTAATGCAAAAAGATTTAACCAATGTACAGGCAGGGGTAGTGTTAAGCCGCTTGCTTAACGATGTTAATGCTTGCCCATACTCCACAAACATTTTTCATGCTCATTATGCTGTGCTAGAACAGGATGGGAGGACACGGCTACTGGTAAGAGGAAGGAACAGTAACCTGGCTCCTGCTTTCTGGGTCCTGAAACCGGCTAGAGCCAGCTTTGTGGTTTGGACAATGACCAAGTCACCAGGGAGCATGAGCAACTATTAGAGGTAAAAAGTTTAAGCAGAGGAAGAGTCATTGACTTCATCTTGAGACCCTCACCCACGACCACCGGGAGTTACTGCGCAGCCGCAAAGGACCTTTTAGCTCATTATAATACGAAGCAGGGATAGGACATGAATATGTATAGGCATGTTGTGTAACCTAATACATACGTATAATTTTAGAGAATAAATAAGGGGAGAAACGAGGTTGCAGCGGGCATGCCTTTGGAGGAACGATCCCCCATGCGTCTCAGCGCTGAATAAAGCATACCTACTTTACAAGTTTAACGAGTTGTGGAGTCTATCCCATTATCACTTTGGCGAGCCAGGCAGGAGACGTCTGTTCAGCTGAAGGATCAGCTCAGGGGAGACATCCTAGGCACCCCAGGCAGCTTGCCTGGAAGAGCTCCGCTCTTCATCCGCTCACTGCGGGGGCAGACAACAACCTGTGCCGGCTGCGGAGAAACGGTATGCGTGGGATTTAGGTTTGTAATTTAGAGGGCCTATAAGTCGTACGCTTGGCCTGGGGCTGCTGGTAAGGCACGCAGAGACATCTGGCACGCAGCGTAGTTCCCCTTGGCAGATGGGGCTTGCAAGCAGGTTGGGGACTCGTCGACCGATAGAGCGGCTGCTAGCGATCCTGAGGGTGGATCGGGTGAGTCCAGGGACTCGTTGGCCGATAGGGCAGCGTAACCAGGTGAGAACTGGGAGGGCTTATAGTTGGTTTTGAAGTGGGATAAGCTTTCCCTGCTGACAGCCTCCCTGGGGAGTTCTTGACTTCCTGTCTAGCCCTGTGCTGGTGGCAGGACCTGGTATCACACCATCCTCAACAGTCACTCCCAGCTTCTTTCCACCATGGATCCTGAAGCTGGCAGCTTTCTTTGGGCTCCTCTTCTCTCCTGTGAGGAGCAAGGGTGCACAGGCACTTTGATAACCAGGGGGATGTTTCTCTAAGCTCGATAATTTTGCCACCTTCCCTCCCTCCTCTGTGAAGTTGCTCTTGGTCACACTCCAGCACTTGAGACATGAGCCACGAGCCACAGCGATGAGCCAGCCAGAGCTACAAGTCCTGTGCTGAAGCTGAGCACAGCTGTTGATTTTTCACCCTGGGGCTGAGAACCTTACAGCATCTCTTCTCTCCCCATTCACGGCAGGTTCGGGCAGATGGGACAAATGGAAACTGAGTCACGTCTGTGTTTCCCGATGGGGACCACACGCTTGGCAATGCCCTCCACTACATGGTTGTGAGGTAAGTGGAGTCACCACAGCCCCTGGTACCACTGGGGGTTCCTCTGTCTCCTGTTCTGCCCTTCTTCACTAAGTTGCATCTCAGTTGCTGCTGGAACAAGGCAAAACTACCTCTGTGCATGCTTGTTGGAGAATTTATATCAGAGCTCGTGCCAGAGGCTCCTTACCTACCCCCTCCCTTAACAGGATTCAGTTTTCTCCTTGTGCTACTAGCCCTGAGAGCGCTAACAGGCCTTGATGAGTATGAACAGCCTCACCTGGGGCCTCCACACACACCCTGCCCACAGGCTCAGGAACCCCATTTAAGCTTAGCTTAGGCTTTCAGTCCCTCCTGAGCTATGTTGTATCTATATGGGTCTTCAGCTCAGCTGTTGGATGCTGACCCATGGGCTGACTTCCTGACCCAACATCAGCCTCTCCTCAATGTTGTACATTGTACATCTGCTTGGTGCTCATAGGTTTTGTCTGACCCTCTTTACCCTCACCCGACCTGCAGGTTGTCTTCCTGACCCGGCCTCGCACCTATTTCACCCCCACAAACCTGCCTGGTGACCTGGACCCTTGGCTGGCCCTGGCTACCACCTTTGCACCTTTGTTCATGCTCCCAGCTCCCCATCCCGTAAGGAACAGCCAGCCCTCGCTGCTCTGATGGTTAGTAGAGAGGAAATGGAATGGCAGACATGTGACAGATTTCTGAATGTCTTACGTGGCTCTGGGTAAAATGATGTGCAACTCTGTAAATACAGGTGGTCAGGCAGTACCTATGTCGCCTTCTGGGGCAAGTGCTGTCAGAAAAGAGGGTAGGAACAGCCAGTATTAAGCAAATTGATCCCCTTTAATGCTTCCATCAAGATGCAGGAATTGGTGCTGGAAATTAGTAATCCTGCTGCCCCCATTAAAATATACAAATGCCTTCACTGGTTTTATCCAGCTGGGAGGCACTGGGGGTTTGTGAAGACTCACTGGGAAGGCTCAGAAGAATTCCAGCAGGAAGTTCAATGCACCATCTCAAATGACAGTCGCATTGCAAATGCTGTGTGAATTCCTCTGATGTCTCACCATGACAAGAAAAAGAGCAGCCTTCTTGTGAGGGGCTGTGCTTTCTGCTGTGTGCGCAAATGTTCTACCAACCACCTCGGCTTGTGAAGGCAGATGTCATGCAGTCTGCAAACATCTTGTGGTGCCCTAGACCCATCTGCCTCCTTTGCCCAGCAGAATTGCAACAGGTCTGTGTGGAGGGAGGCTTCCACGCAGCCAGGATCCCCTGTTTGACCAGGGTGCCAGCCAGGTCTTTCCCCTGCCAAGTTCCAGCTGCAGCTCAGAGATAGATGGAAGGGTGTGAATAAGGTTACAGGGGGAGTGTCCTTTGAGCACATCCCTCCCATAAGACCCTCAGTCATATTAGAAACGTCCTGAGCCCCAGCAGGTCTGGGGTGGCCCAAGCCTCTGACTTCCCTGAGATTTGCTGTGGATTGGCCTGGGTTTTACTGCTCTCTTCTCCTCTCGCCCTTCCTGCAGCCCTGATGCGGAGTTCTGTGGCTACTGTATCACACACCCCTCTGAAAGCAAGATCAGCTTCCGGATCCAGACCAGAGGTATGGGGTGTGCATTGCTTTGACGTTCAGGGCCCTTCCTTTGTGGAATCCCCTCTGTTCACGTCAGGTTTCCACCATGAGTCATTTCAATAAAGAAAACCACTCTTCTCCCTCTTCTCTGCAGGCACGGTACTGCAGTGCCGGGGTAAGGTGGATCTGCTAAGTCCGGTCAGGGGTGATGGGTGCTTCACCTGCCCCTAAATTAGCAGAAGATTTGGAAAGCCAACCCAAAGGGTGCTGACATACATAGCTGCGGTGAGAATTTGCTTCTGCTTCTTCTTGCTTATCTGGCAGCTTTGCTCATCAGGCTGTGAACCAAAGCTCTCTTGAAAAGTCTGTGCTGTCTCTTGACTTGCCTCCCAGAGGGGTCTGTGTTCTCTGTTAACAGGCAGCACTGGCAACTCTGAGCCTCAGGCCATCACTCACTCCTCCCAGCACACCAGCCCATTCAGCTCAGTCTACTGCCCTCCATCTAGGCTCCACAGCTTTGTCTGCTGCCGCAGGAGGACAGTGTTATTTCATTCCTTCCTTATGGGGCTGTTCCCCTGAGTATCTGAGTTTGTGCTTGCTGGCTCTTTAATTTCCTAAAAATGAGTAGTGCTGAGGCTGTTCTTGCCAAGGGAACCCCTTCCCTGTGGGGCTCCTGCAGGGTTTGGCTCTGCCCTTCCTGCACCGTAGCCTGGCCTGAGCTCAGCTCTCAGGGTGCTGACAGCGGGCTGGTAGGAGGGAAGTGTGTGGCATGTGCCTGGTGTAAGAGCCTGTTCCCGTCATGGAGGAACAACCACACTGCCCAGAGCAGTGAGGGAGAGGGCCACCAACCCCTTTGGAAACCACTGACCCATCTTCTTTCCCACAGGGGCCCTTCCTGCTGTTGAGCCATGCCAGAAAGGAATGAATGACCTGATGGGTGTTTGCTAACATGTACTCAACACCTTTGAGGTGAGACTATTCCTGCAGAGTTCAGGGGGCTTTTCTGTCTCTTGGTGTCAGAGGTGAGAGGAAAGGGCTGACAGCTGTGTTGTAGGCATAAAGAACCTAGAGTTATCTCAGACTTTCTCTGCCTGACCTGCAGCATGGCCTGGCTTCCTGTTCCTTGGAGTGAATGTAAAGCTCAGTCACTTCTGAAGGTACCTGGAGCTCTGCCAGAGCTGCTCAGGATCCTCTGCACTGGGCAGAGGAGTCACAGCACAGAGCAGAGTGGCGGCATGGGGTGTACGAGCCTCTCAGGTATACGCTGTTAACGTTTGTTCTTTGCTCTTGCTTGCAGAGGAGCATGAAGGAGTACAGGGCCCAGAGGAGGAAGAGATACAGTAGCATTTGGGGATGGCAGTCTCCATGGACGTGTAAGGTCTGTGTATTGAATTCCCTGTGCCAAGTATTTCTGGTAGTGTGTTTTAGGACTGCTTTGATGCAAACCTGTATTTTCTGTAATAATAAAGATTCTGCAGGCTGATGTTGCAGAGGTGACGCTGTGTTCAGCTCAGCAGGGTATGAAAAAAGATAGAAGGCAGTTCTTCCACTCCTCTGTCTTCTTTCTATCTCTTTCCAAGTGTCATTGCTGTTTCCTGCCCAGGATTTGACAGTTTTCAGGTAGCCTTGTGCACAGAACTAGTCTGCCCCACGTCCACAGGGAGCAGAGGGGCTCAGCACCATGTAAAGTCCAGCTTTTAGAGAGGCAGCACCTTCTCCCAATTTCGGTCTTTCTGTTGCAGGCACCACTGCAGTTGACTTCAACAGATACAACCAGCCATCCTTTTCAAACAGATCGTTATCTGCTTGCAGCCCAGAAGCCCCCTGTGCTGGGCTGCATCCCCAGAGTGTGAGCAGCAGGTCAAGGGAGGGGATTTTCCCCCTCTGCTGCACTCTGGGGAGACACCCCTCCCCTGCAGTCCTGATCCAGCTCTGGGGCAACACCACAAGAGGGACGTGGAGCTGCTGGAGTGAGGCCAGAGGAGGCCACGGAGATGCTGTGAGGGTTCTGGAGACAGGCTGAGAGAGCCTGAGAAACCTGGAGAGGGGCTTTTTACAAGGCAGTGTAGGGACAGGACAAGGGGGAATGGCTTTAACCTGACTGAGGGGAGATTGCTGCTTAATGAGAAACACCCAGGAGAAAGAGTCTCCTTTCAAACACCACCACATTTTAGTCACATACAGAGGAATAAGAGGGAGTGTAAGAGAAACAGTGTTGGTTTTGCATAATTGGGGATGGGGCTTTGCAAGATTAAGGCTTTCCAATATTAAGATTTTTCTGTACTGGGGCTGGGGCTGTTACTCAAGGAACAAAACAAAGGGTTTGAGGTACCGTAACTTAGAAAGACACACTCTGTGGTTAAAGACAGTATCATCTCTGGACGAAAGATACACTCTGTGGTTAAAAAGAATACTCTTTGTACTACCTGTGACTAAGCCGGTGCAGGTTGGTTAAACGTAAGTCGAGGTACCACGTGTCTGCCAGAGAGTTCTGAAATCGATCCATAAAAAGAGATAAACAAATGAGAGGAAGTGGCATACAAAACTGAGTAAGGGGAGATGTAAGAGATCGAGTAAGGGGAGAGGTGGGACAATTGGCATGTAGCTGATACGTGTCGAATAGGCTGTAAACCTTGGAGTCCCCAGCCAATGGGGAAACAAGGGAGGGAACTTGCGGACAGCATAGGAAATACAAATCATTGTTCTGCTTTTGCTGTGTATGCCTGCTTGCCAGGAGACCCGTTTTTGCAATGACATTAATAAACAGCTGCTTCACTGCTGTGTCTACCCTGACCTGAGCAGTGATCTCGCCCTTCCGGGTGACTGCCCCCAGTTTATACACTGGGCACGACGTGTTGTGGTATGGAATACCTCTTTAGGCAGTTTCGTTCAGGTGTCCTGTCTCTGCTTCCTCCCGGCTTCCCCTCCTCCCTGGCAGAGCATGAGCCTCAGGAAGTCCTTGGTCAGGGTAAACATTACTGAGCAACAACTAAAAACATGGGTGTTATCACCGCTGTTCCCAGGCTGAGAGTCAAAACCACAGCACTGCGCCAGCTACTAAGAAGGAGAAAATGGCTGCTACTGCTGAACCCAGGACAGAAGAGGCAGAAATGAATTCATTTCATTGCCATTTAGTGCAGGCATCCCAGAGGCTGAACTCCACTGAAGCTGAGAACCTATTAAACCTGGAAGATGGAGTTGACTTAGCCAGGTGAGAAACACCCAGACCGACCTCTAACGGATGGAAAGAGCATCCTTGCTGCTGCACTGGGACATTTCAAAGGAGATGCAAGGGAGAGGAGGAGCAAAGTGTGGAGCATCTCTGGAGCCAGGGGCTCTGGTGCCCCACACGCATGGCAGAGGAGAGGTCTGCAGTGGCCTCCCTCTGTGCCAAACCCTGCATAGCCCAAAGACATAAGAAGACCCTACAAATAGCTGTGGGTGTGATACTGTTTCCACTGTATCCCAGGATGGTTTTGGCTTGGACAAAGAGAAGTTGCCTGAGGTCCATGATGTTGTGATGCCCCATGGGCATTCCCTCAGAAAGCTGGCTAAGCCCAAAGGCACCCACAGCAGGGCTGAAATCCAAAGGGCTGGGGTGAAGGGCTTCTTCACTGTGAGGGTGCTGAGGCACTGGCACAGGGTGCCCAGAGAAGCTGTGGCTGCCCCATCCCTGGCAGTGTTCAAGGCCAGGTTGGACACAGGGGCTTGGAGCAAGCTGCTCTCGTGGAAGGTGTCCCTGCCCATGGCAGAGGATTGGAACTGGATGAGCTTTAAGATCCCTTCCAACACAAACCACATGAGAGTTCAGTTGCCCTGACTGGACTCACTTGTCCAGAGCTTTTCAGACTGTCAGATGGGAATGATCGGTCCCCATGCTGAGACAGCAGCAAAGACCACAGCAACCACGGCGATCCTCAGCACATCCTGCAAGGGAGGGGAGAGACCTGGAAAACACAAACCCGAGGAGCTGGGACTGACACCACCGCTGGGCCCAGCAAGGGTGGCTCTGGTGGTCCATGGGGCTTCTCTGTCACCAGGACACATTCAATTCATTTGCCACCTGGTGTCGCATTCGTGCTTTGTGCTGCAGGCTGTGGTCCATGGAATGTCCAACCTGGGACAAGTGCTGCCCATAGGCTTTCCTGGCCACCCTCCAACCGCCCCCCCCCCCCCCCATGTTCTGCTCACCATCGCCTTGGCCAAGGGCCATCACTTGGGACCTCCTCCAAGAGGGGTCTGCCAATCTCCTGCCATCCATCCTGCTGAGGATTGTGCCTTGGTGGGATCAGAGACTGGGAATTGCTGCCGATCATCCTACTATGGGGATGATGTTCTTGTCAACAGCACGTGGGGCACAACCTCCCGAGAGGGCAGCTGACTGAACCTTGGGGGATGAAGGCAGAGGCATGGGATGAAACCACCCAGGGATCTCCAAGGAAGGGTGGAGAGAAGGAAGAAGGATGGGAGGTGAAACTGCAGCAGCCATCACCTGCAACCGTGATGTTCAGGGAGGTTTCTTCCCAGGTGAAGGGCTGTGGTAGCATTATGGCAGCAGCATTATGACAGCAGCGAAGGGATAATGCCAAAGCAAATGAAGGGAATTGCTGGGAGTGATATCGAGGAGGAACTTCTGTGTTATTTCAAGTCTGCTCTTATCTCTGAGGCAGCATCTGGTACCGGCAGATGGCAAAAAGACCGTCAGGCAGCGTGGCCTGAGGCCGAGGACTTTGACCTGACTTCTCCATAAGGCTCCATGGGCTTAGCTCTGCCTGCCCTCAACACGTGCTGGAGGTACCCTCTGCAGAGGGCACTGGCACACAGCACTCCCCCAGTCCCTCCCTCCCTGCACTGAGAATAGAAAGCAAGGGAGGGAACTGTGTTTCCAGGATAGAGCCCAGCCCTCTGTCACAGCCTGGAAGGTCTCCTTGGGCAGCATCACCAAATCTGCTTCCCTAGGACATGTTGGGAACCTCTTCCCAGAGTCTCCCTGGTGATGTCTCCATGCATGACAGGCTGATAGTCCATAAACACTCAGGTAACGCCCCTGCCCTGCTTGCACCCATTACCCCCTTCTTTCCTCCCATGCCCACCACTTACTGAGGACTTCCAGCAGGATTTTCAGGCTCTCCCTGTCTCCCATGTTGACAGTTGCTTTGTAGATGCCACTGTCACTTTCCTGGACACGCTCGTCCAGCAGGAGAGATCCATCAGATGGACGGAAAACAGCTTGTCCTGCGTAGGGTGCGTGGATGGCTGGGCTGTGGGATCCCTTGTAGTACTGCAGGACGGTGTGGGAGCTGGCACCACTGAGGTATTCCCACTGCACGGAGTAGACCTGCGTGATGTTACCCAGCCCAGGAAGCAGCACTGGGGATCCCACAGCAGCAACTTTACTCTTGAGGGTTCCAAGATTTCTGCAGCCTGTTGCAAAGGCACCGGCAGCCCTGGAGGGCAGGAGAAGAGATGAGCAGGGGAGATGGAGCAGGTTGGCATGGCTGGAGAGAGGCTTTTTTACCCAGATGCCAGGGGCACACACATGGTACGTGGACTACTTACTTGGTCACAGCCTCTCACAAAGCCATCTCCCATCACGCCTCCAGGCAGGGAGACATTCCAGCTGGGGCAGATAGAGATGCCGAAACACAGCCCAGGATGCTTGGAGCTCTCTGCTTGCAGTGCTGCAAGCTTTTTCTACTCCACTTTTGTGTGCGTTTTAGGTGGAGTTCCCTCCCAGTCCATGGCAGGAAGAGATTTTCTAATTCTGACCCAGTTTCCATGGTTCATTCCCAATTCCCAGCCTTGTTTGGGGCTGAAGGTGTCCATCCACTCCCAGCAGAGCTGCCTCTCCCAAATCACAGGGTGATTTCTGGGCTTGTCGTGACTTGGGCTCTCAGAGGCACTTGGGGACTTCAGGAGGAGGGTAAGTCACAGTGTCACACCCTTCGTTTTTTGCCACAACCCCCCCCCCCCCCCAAAAAAAAAAAAAAAAAATCACAACAAAACAAACCCAGTGCTTTCTAGAAAAGCCAGGCAGAATCACAACCAAAGCCCTGGGTTGGGAAGTGGAGTCTTAAAAACATACATGTTTTAAAGGGTGAATGTAAAGGGTTTAAAGCAAGGAGCCAGCCCCAAGCAGAGGAGGCAGAAGAAAAGGTGTCTATGCACAGGCGGCGGTCCATCCAGCTACTTGCTAGCAGTGTTCCTGGTGCTCCTGGGGGCTGCTCTGTTGGAGTGCCAGGATTTCTCCTAAAGCTCCTCCTCTCCTGTGTAACTGCTCCACGGGAGCATCAGCTCCCAGGCTCCCAGAGACAGGGACCAGCATCAGCCTGTCCCAGCCCCAGTCCCGCAGCCAGGCTT